GTGTTATCTAATAAGGTGTGCTGATTACAATAAGACCCAGAGCATGTCAAATAGGGTCAGTTCTCATTTCATGTGGGGACCAGATCATGAAAAGTCTGTTTTCAAATTTCAAATTAAAAATGTTTGATGCATCATACATTTTAAAACGTAGTAAATGTATTAAAAAATTTTCCCACCTCCTTCTTCCCAACCTACGAACGTTGTTACATTGGTGCCGAAACCCGGGAGGAAGGAGGGACATGCAGTAGAGCGCAGTCTCGTGGGTACCCCCCAGCCTGCGAGGGGTGATGGGGGTATGTGACGAGAGGGGCGGGGCCAAGAGCCGTGGGAACGGAGGAGCTCAGGAAGGATAAAAGGAGGAGTGACGACAGTGTTGGATGAGAGAGGACCAGGCCTGGACTTTATTTTGTGTTTTGTGTGCGGCAGTCGTCCGCGAGGGGCTGCCGCTTTAATTTCATTTTGTGTTTGTTTATTTTATTAAAGTTTTCTTTAAATGTTCGCCGGTACTTGCCTCCTCCTTCCCGACCTACGAACGTTGTTACAGTGACAAAGCACTTTAATTTAATAGATTGTTAAAGATCGCGAACACGATTCAAACACCAACGTGATTCTATTGCTAAATTACAACGTTTCGTCTGTTTCATTTCTCAACCTTTGATGTGTGAAATCAATGTTGTGATCACTTGGTTCATCTGTGAAGCGTATGATCACACCAGTGTGATTTGAACGTTTACTTTTACGTTCGCGCCGCCACTGACCTAAAGAGAGCAGCTGTCTGTCATGAATGAAACAGCTTCACAGTCTTTTCAGCCACACAGTATCATAATTTTTGTGTTACAAACATTCAAATCACAGAAGTACTGTGATAAAAGTTTATAGTTCAGATATAAACTGTGTGTACGATGTGTACGGTAGTGATTAAAATATAGTAAACCTTTTGAAAGTCATTTGACACTTCAAATGAAGATTTATTGATTACATTGTTACGCCAGTAGGTGGCAAAATGTTAAAATGTATTTGTCTTTGAATCAGACAAGAGGTTCGTTCAAGAACGCTGATTCATCCAGTAATGGAACAAGTACATCTTGAGTGAGTCATTTAATCATTCATTCATAAATTACATGTGATTTTGTTTAGTTGTCTAATGTTTTTTCTTCAGAATCATGAGAGAACCACAACTTCCATTGGGGAAAAAAAGAAAGAAAATGTATCCAATTTATCCAGAATCATGCAGTTCTATTTTGCACACAAACAGCTCTTAAAGAGTCCAGTTTTTATGTAGCCTGTTGATTTTTGTTCATGGTATTCAGATCCAATAAATGGTTTGCAAAAAAGAGACAGGATAATGTTTGATATCCTTATTTAATCACATTGGAATCGAAACTGGGAATCGAAAAGAATCTGAATCGATAAGCAGAATCAGAATCGGAACTGATCAAATTCAAACGATACCCAACCCTATTCCAGAGACAAGAGTATAAACGTTAAACCCACACATTAAAATGGAATATACCTAACCTCTTCTCTATACATCTCCGATTGTGCGTTGCATTTTTAATATCATAGATTTCAGTAATATACATTTCAATAACTCATTTAATGCAATTTTCCACCCATTAGACGGCCCAATTATCATACAAAGAAACTGGATTTCCAGATGATTGAAAGCCCAGTAGCCAAAAAAGCAAGCAGATGCTTTTTTCCACTGCAAATAGTGCACATAATGCTCTCACTGAAGCATACAGGTGGCACCTAAACCTACTTATTTAGACGCTTCTGCCCAATATACGCTGACTTTTGCTCCACTGAAATCAATGGTACGCGTATCTACCATCGACTCCCAGTGAATTTGCAGTCATAGAAGTGAATGGCATAAATTTATTTTTTTATCAAGTTAACTTAAAGAAATATTTTTCCCGAAAATGAAAATTCTGTCATTATTTAATCACCCTGTTGTCATAAAGCCATCACTTAAGTCAAACCTGAATGAACATGTGAATGAGATTTCAGAGAAAGATTTTATTTTCTTTCACAAAGCTATTATACACATATGGACAATTTTACGGTGATTTTTGTACTTTTAGTGTTTGACAGCGGTCACTTTGAACTATCATTTTATGGGAAGAGCTTTATAAAGATTTTTCTAAAATTCTCTCTTTTTTTGTCGAAAGATTATTTTTGGAACATGAGATTGAAGTAAATATTGATAAATCTGTTCATTTTTTTCTGTCATAATTTATGTTGTTTCAAACCTGTATAATTTTTTTTCCTCTGTAGAACACAAAATAACATATTTTGAAGAATACTTAATTCCAAACAACACCGGACCCCATTGACTTCACTGTTTGAACAAACAAACAAAATATTTGTCTTGTTCACAGTAGAAAGCACGTAAAAAGAGTTTGAAAGGACATGAAAATGTATAAATTATGACAGAATTTTCATTATTGATTGAACTATCTTTAGCTAACTAAGACTTGTTATAGCACTTGCATATCGTTGCTCTTTTGTTGATTTTGATTGCTTCCATTGTCCTCATTTGTAAGTCGCTTTGGATAAAAGCATCTGCTAAATGACTAAATGCAAATTGTATTTGTAAATAAAAACACTTTGACTGAGGGTTCTCAACTCTAGTGCAATGGAGCTACAGTGAACTCTTCTATGGTTCTCAGTACAAGCCACATGTTTCTACCTAGAACACTTTGTAAGGAACCTTTGCCTTGTTTGGAATGCTGTTTGACTAAAACTGGTGTACTTCAGATTATTACACAACAGAGACGCACATACACAAAAAAAATCTAACAACCCCGCAACCCCCCACTCCCTCTCTCTCCCTCTTTGTCACTGTCTCTCCCACTCATAGACACACAAATAAATACAAACATATTTGTACCACTAACCTATCTTCAGTGGTCATCCAGCAGTTCACAGTTTGTCTATTTTTGCACCATCCAATCATCAAAGTCATCGCTTATTTAAAATGTTCAATATTTTGAAAAGAAAAGCCACCTTAAATTATAGCTAGTTGTCAAGCAGACTACCACAACAATCACAAAAGATTAATATGGTGAACTGTACATGTAAGTAAAAACAATTCTTACTCAAATGAGTAAAGTGTACCCTAAAAACTTGTGGTATTCACAAACCAATTTTTTGCCTAAATGTGGCCTCGTTGTAAGATTCATGTTCAGAAGATTTATTGTGTGTGATATCAGGTCAAGACCAGTATAAAGTCCCTCACACTTTGTCTCATTATTTGGGTCTCTGTGTGTCAGTTTCATTTTCTGGCTGGTGTCTTAAACCATATTTTTCGCAAAGATCAAGTGGTTTTGCATCCAACTCAAACCCCAAAGATTCAAAGGTTAAACACACAACTAAGCTCAAATTCCTTTCAGGAAAAAAAACACACACTCCGTATACACTAAAACACAGCCTTGGAAAAAATACTAATTTAACTATGGTTCAGATGGAAGCACCAAGCGTTCACTCAAGTTCTTTAGACAAATGCAGAGACACGCAACTGTTTTTCTCCATATACAGTTGTGGCCAAAAGTATTGGCAGTGACATACATTTTGTGTTTTGCAAAATTTGCTGCTTAAGCTGTTGTGGTGTTCATTCACATTGTTTCTACAAGTTTTGGCAGTGACATAATCTAGAAACAATGTGAATGAACACCACAACCGCTTAAGCAGCAAATTTTGCAAAACATAAAAATTAATGTCACTGCAAAAACGTTTGGCCACGACTGTAGTCTTAATTTAAGATAAAGTTTCCTTCCAGCTTGCATATTTTCTTATTAATGTTCTGCTTTTGTTCCAGCCTGTGCAGGTCTAATTGAAAACAGCCATCCCACTTTTTGTTCAAGTCAAATTACATTTATTTTTAATTAAAGAGAACACTGTAAAACCACAAATGTTGACAAAGTGAGATATCAAAACAACCAAATATAGTAAAAGATATAAATGCTTAAACTGTTAGTCTGTGCAATGCAATTTAACTAATGCCTGTAAATGAAAATGCACAGCATGACAGTTGGACCTGCATGTCGGTGTGTGAATCAAAATGTTCCCTTTCCATGTATAGTTTGTGGGTGATTAAATGTGTGAATGACTCAGAATGAGAACGAGAATACAGAGAAGTTCAAGGCTAAAAGCTTTGAAGTGCATGGTGTCTTTGCGCTCGGACACAACTGTGTGGGGTTGCCTTGATGGCAGTATCCCTGGAACCCAGCTACCCTGAGGGAGGAGTGTGTCAATGTGTACAGCTGCCTCTGTGTACTGGTTTACTTGGCTGCAGACATAAAGAGAGGAACTTCAAACAAATTAAGGCTTCCTTCAGGAATTACAATTTTATTTAATTCCTACCTAATAAAATGGTCCTGAAGCAACTGAACCCAATCCATTAACAGAAAACCAATAAAGAACATTCCTATACAGAACTGAAACTGAACACGAAACCAGGGGTCATGCGAAAGTACTGGGGTCTTATAAAACAATGCCTTTTATTCAAAATATTTCACAAAATTTCTGACTATTTGAGTGGACATATTTTAACTAATCACTTAATGAGCATTATGTAATGTTTAATAAAAGTTTTTATAAATTGTTAAGAAGAAAATTTTGCTTTTTTTATTCTGAGGGTCCCTGGGGCAGCTAAGAATCTGAATAAAAGGTCCCAGGGTCTGTAAAGTTTGGAAATCTCCTTAAAAAAAAACTCAATTATGCACTCCAAATGAGTGCATATGGTCCTGTGCATTGTTTCTTGCTAATTTCGGTTAGTCATTAATTAATCATATTAAAATAAATATAAACTGTAAACAAACATTTCTACAAGTCGGACAAACTTTTGCACTGTCCTCCGTACAGTCGCATTTCGGGGTACAAAGACAGGCGTGTTATTTTAACGCGCGCCATTTTAATCAACTTTATCAACGTAACGAATTGGTTGTAGCGCACAAAATTTGTGTGGAAAGAAAAAACACAGCAGTGCTCCCTCTTACCTGCCATCCGTAAATGATGTTACATCCAGCCAGTTGCCCATCTCGTTTTTCAAGCAGGGCATGTTAGGGTAAGGGGGACGGGTCAACATCCCGCCGGGGTACCACTGTCCGGGCGGAGGTCGCTCCCGCGGAACCAGAGCCTCGTTTCGGCCGTACTCGTAGGGGTTACAGATAAAAGGCGTATCGTGGCCAGATGCGTAAGGGGTCCTATGTTTGGGAGTCCCGTACTGGCCGTTACAGTCCTCAGCGTACCTATGCGGGTACGCCCAAGTATCATTTAGTTCACGGGGCATCATCTCCGCCTTGATTTTGACATTATAGAGATTAACGTAATCCTCCACGGGGCCCGCGAACTCGCCGGACATCTCCGCGGGCTTCGCGAAGCTCTGGCTCGGTCCGTTTTCGAGCTCCGGTTGCACGAAATGGGCCATGCTCGCGGGCAACAGTTGTTCGAACTGGCACGAAGCCGCTCGCGTTGAGTCCATGCCCGGTGCTGTCGTCGCTGCCGTACCTTCTGAACTCAAGTTGTCAATGTCCCCGGACAAGCTGGCGAACTCATGCACACCCTGCACATCCGCGGTTAGGTGTGATCGAGACGCGCTGCTGCACTGCAAGGTCGTCACTTCACCTGCTAGCTGCTCCAGGTCGCCACTTTTAAACATCTCGAGCACTTTGTCCCTGCCTCGCAGCTCTGCGCCTCTGTCTCGTCCCGCCGTGAGAGCGTACTCTCTTTCTTTCCCTCCTGCTTCCCGTTCGCTCACTGAGCAGTTGAATAAAGGCATTCCAAACAAATAGATTTCCTCGCTACTACTTTTAGTGGTCAGGGGCGGCGGCGCATGGTGCGGTCCCACCTCGCCCAGTTCGCTGGACTCCATAGCTAAGCCCAAAGATACGGACACGGCTTTGCACAGCTCTCGTGTTGTCTCCGAGATGCTACTGCTGCTGCTGGTGCTGGTGCTGCTGCTGGTGCTGGTGGTGGTGGTGGTGTTGTTGTTGCACGCGCGACTACTACTCGCCACTCTTGCGTCACAGTGCGAGTTAACTTCAGCCTCAGCGCAGCCCTTCTGTCCGCTCTCTGCGCCCCAAAGGAAACCTGCGCGACTGCCGCTGCTTTCGGTGGCGTCTGCGCGGCCCGAGCTTGACAAGGACGTGTCGCATTTACTTCCTGTTGAACTCCGCATCACTGAACTCGCACTCTCGCACTCTTTCTCGGGGCAGCATATTATTCCCTTGCTGGGGGCCAGCTTGTTTAAACGCATTTCCATCGACGCGGTCTCCAGCAGGCAGCCGCGCTTCTTGGAGCTAAAAAAGTCCAAACTCTCGGCGTTGCTCTCTCTCGCGACGCGCACGTTTTGGAAAACGCTCTGGTAAGGTCCGTGAAAACCTGCGTCTGGGGACTCGCAAGCCTCCCCCGGAACCTCCATAGTCTAGAAACAGAGTACAACACAGGCCGTGTGGGTTTAAAGGGGACTCACCGCAACAAGTTCATCGACGAAATCCTTGAAAAAGTTCCAGTCAGACAGACACCAAAGAGCTGCGCTGCGCGAGACCGTGTAAGCAAAAATAATCAAACGAGCGCTCACGCTCGCCGGAGACTCATAGGCGGCTCTTAATAAACGTCAACGGAAAAGTTTTCCGAAAATGCACGTGAACAGCCTTCTGCTCTACAGAGCGTTATTCCGTCCCGCCGTATGCTCAAGTCAGACCTGCAGTCTACGCGCGTTGTCCATAAATGAGCTGATGAACGTGAACCCTACAGGGGGTGGGAATTTCTCTCCGCCGCTCGACTTGTTTTCCGTCTACCTTGAGAACAGGCGATAAGATTTGCGCTGCCTGTTTTCAATGATCAGTCCGACTCCGGTTACTACAATACCCTAGGCAAATCACAACATCCACACTTTCTTTTTTAAAGTACAATTAAAGCCCCATTCTCTCGTGTCAGGTACTCTCCTGGGCTCAGGCGCAGGTAATGCGGGGAGAGCCTGCTGTTTCACGGTGTTTTGCAGGGGTAAGCAGTTATTTTACGGAGAGTTCGCTCTCAAAGTCCTTGAGCGCTTTAACTGTCGGGACTAAATAATACAGAAACAAGAACGGCGTCAGTAATACGGGTATATGAGAACACGCTACAAATACGAGCACGGGATCACAACTCATTTTCACTTAGTAAAATATAACACTGATGTGCGGGTGAATGTAAATGTTTGAGTTGAGAATATGAAATATGGAAAATGTGACTAAATCAACAATAAAAGGAAATGAGAAAGAGTCAGAATGTGTTAAATAAATAAGCTCTGCATGAACAAATACATGAAATCACCATTTTTGCTTGGACTGTTGTTGCTTTGACAAAGGCAAGGCACCACTTTAGGTTTTCATTAAGCTCTAGAAGATGAGCAAACATCAAGACAATAATTATATCTACTAAACAGTCAGGTCCTGAGGTGTCTTCTCATTCACATCCAGCCAGTGCAATACTATCCTTTCAACCCTATCCTTTTTTATTCACTGTAACTAAATGTGACCTTTATTGTTCTCTTTGCCACAAGGCTCAGAAGATTTTAACGCTCCTCAGTGAGAATACAGTATTCATTACTAATCCCTGTTGTCAGTTCAAAATTAATAACAGTGTAACATATAAACTCTTATGTTACAAGAAGAATTATTTCCTGGCATAAACCTTGCCCTATTAAGAAGCGAGAGTTCAGAGAAGCACTTCACATGCAGCAAGCGTGCCATGTATGCAGTTCAGGAAAAGGATATTGCATTTGCAGTGCTTTATTGTCGTGAACCGTGTCTGATTTGGATGAAGAATGCTGCAGTGGAGTGTTTGAGGTTATTCAGAATGAGTGGCTTTATTCAGAATGAATTGGTGAGCGGCTGTGGGAGGAGCTGAGAGTGAGGGACAGAAGTTGAGAGGGCTGTTTTGTTTTGGCCGGAGATTGCTGAGATGAAGGGAAAGTGCTCAGTTGCGTTGTTTATCAGTGGAGGCTGAGTTTTGGTTATATCTCATCATCATGTTTTTTTGTTTATCATTAGGAACAGGCATTCTTCCCATCTCTTGCTGGTGCTCTGTTTTTTTTCTTCTTCTTTTGCTCTATCACATCTGTTTGAGTGTGTGTGTGTGTGTGTGTGTGTGTGTGTGTGTGTGTGTGTGTGTGTGCCGCACCTGTTGCTTAGTAACTGAAATTCCACATATACTCAGAGCATTACGGCAAAGTACAGCCCATTTACTCTGATTGAAAAAAAAAAATGTTCTTGTATTTATTTAAAATAATTTCGAAGGTTATGGAGGCCTGCTAATATTATGTTAAAAGAACAGTCCAGGTTCACAATGGAAGTGAAAGGGTCAATCCGTAAACATGAATGATTACTGTTTCAAACATACAAGCATAAAGAATAAGCATGTGGAAAAAATGTAAAGTAAAATTATATACAATTTTACAACTTTGATGCCATGACAACATAATGCCTAAAAACTCTAAAATGATCATAAAAATTACAAGAACAACTTTAATGCTCAAATAAACAAGTTTCAACCGAATTAAGTGCTTTATAAAATTCTAAGCTTCATATTTCTGCTTGTAAAAAAAATGGTCTCATTCATTTCCATTGTATGTGGTGCCTCACTGTAATTTTATTCCACAAACACTGGTGGTTGATTGAACTTCACTTCTATTGTTTATGGAACATTCATTTACTATTTTCTTTGAATATTTTTAGATTTATTTTAACCTAAATAAATAACCTATGATTACTGTTTCAAACATACAAGCATAAAGAATAAGCATGTGGAAAAAATGTAAAGTAAAATTATATACAATTTTACAACTTCGATGCCATGACAACATAATGCCTAAAAACTCTAAAATGATCATAAAAATTACAAGAACAACTTTAATGCTCAAATAAACAAGTTTCAACCGAATTAAGTGCTTTATAAAATTCTAAGCTTCATATTTCTGCTTGTAAAAAAATGGTCTCATTCATTTCCATTGTATGTGGTGCCTCACTGTAATTTTATTCCACAAACACTGGTGGTTGATTGAACTTCACTTCTATTGTTTATGGAACATTCATTTAATATTTTCTTTGAATATTTTTAGATTTATTTTAACCTAAATAAATAACCTAAACAAACTTTTCTGATAACTACAGATCAGTCTTTTACAGCACAGTGGTGGATATACTGTATATATATATATATATGTGACCTTTTAGCTGGTTAAAATACTAGTGTTCTAATAGCCTAATTTTGGCCATCACTGTATACACACGTGTGTGTTTGCTGTATACATCAATATATGCTGAATTATTAAAGGGATGGTTGACTGTTTTTTTTCTAGGCTTGATTGTGTTTATGGGGTGCAGTCTAACATGTGTTAATGCTTCGTTTAAAAAATAAAATAAAATACAGATACACGCTGCTCTAGCCCAGAGAGAGTGCGCGCACTTAAAACGTGTCTCTCCTCTAGCTCAAAGTGTGCACGCTCAAACTGTCATTAAAATAACCCCATACTGTTTCCCCTTCAGTGCGTCTGCGCAAACATCAAGACAAAAATCGCGTCCTCATGATTTCGCGCATGCTCCGTACGGATCGTGTGATTCTCTAATCTCGTGTCAGTTTCCAGGTGCGGATCTAGAAAATAATTTTTAGGGTGGCAAAGGTGAGGCATGGGGTCTATGAGGGGTGGCAACACCAAAGCAAGCCCCCATGCATAGTTTTGGGGGATTTATGCTCTGACATACACAGTTGTGTTCACAAATATTATATTACTATTAAGTAATAATCTATACTGTTTAAAATGAAAAATAAATAACAACATTTCAATATCCCTCATGGCACCAAGTCAATACACAACATAAAAAACTTCCAACAGGTTATAAATGTTTCTGAGCTTGTATCACTAAAGAAGACATGTGGTTCTATTCAAATTACATAGGCTACTTAGATGGTATAATCATGTTTAGTGCAAGTTTAAGAGCAACAAAAACTTTTGAATTTCCAGACATTAGAAAGAAATACAATAATACCAAAGCACTGAAACTTGGATCAGTTTTGAAAATAATGTTTGATTTTCTGTTATTAACAGAGGTGGGAATGTCTGTAATCACCAAGAACAAACTCTATCAACCATATAATCTAGCAACACCCCAGCAACTGCATAGCAAGAACCTAGCAACCACCCAGAATATCCTAGCAACCAACGCCGCGGCTGAAAAGTAGCACATAATTCTGGGGTGGCAGGTGCAGGGGCGGAGCCAGGGGGTGGCCGTGGCCACCACTGACTTAAGCTTGGCCACCCCACTCACAACTGCAGTTTTTGTCGCTTTTTTCTTGACAAGAAGTGCATTTATTAAGACGCGCAACCGCCGTATCTCTTTACGACCACATCAAACGGGAGACTTTTCAGACGCGCACTTCACCGTCGCCTCAGCACCAGGCGCAAGTCAAACGAGCGCGGAAAGGAACGTGCCAAATGAGCTTCAGTAGGACAACAGTGAACTGCGTCTGATGAGATGTTGTTAAGCTATATGTTAGAAAACAAACTTTCCTGTCCTGTCAGCCGTACTGTGCTCAGGGCGCATGAGGCGCACGCTCTATATCGCTTAATCATAAATAAAGCACACACAAAAACTATGAGCATACAATGTAGTTCTGTCGTCAGTTAATTCAAAGAATTACCAAAAAGACGATTCAAGTTACAAACTGTGCATGCATGTAGGCTATATATGCATCACATTAAAGAACGTCTCTCAAATGCATATAAAATATAGCCTATTCTGCAACTCGAGATCACAATATAAGGCACAAGCTGATAGGCTATGTATTATTTATTTTTCTTAGGGTGGCAGTTGCCACCCGTGCCACCCCGGTAGATCCGCCCCTGGTTTACACCTTTATCTCGGTCAGCATACGGTAGATTTCACGATGTTTGTAAGATCATTTGTAATTGCATGGAAGCTTTAACGTATACAAAGCATTTTCAAATGGTTACTTTTCGTAAGGGATGTACCTACGGTAACTTTTGCCCTGGTTTCTCTGACAATGAAGTCGTCAATATCGCTTATCAATTTGAGCCTGATTGAGACCCAGAAACTTCTCCAGGCCCCAAAACACCCTCGACCCCAGAGGGGTTTAATAAAAAGTGTCTCACACAGCTCCGGGGATGGTTTTCACGCTTAAGTCAAGTAAAAGACCGCTTCTTAAACCACAGAAGGTTTTTTCGAGTTAAATTTCGCTGTGCAAGCACGGCTCTTAATGGTATGTTTTTTTGTTTGTTGTTGTCTCATACTTTTAGATATGCTGTTATTTGCAAATGCTATGTTAACTTTTAATATACGGTTTTATCCTGATTAAAGTTTTAATACGAAATTAGTATTAATAAATTAATTTGTAGCCAACTTTAAATTCATAAATTCATGTGGAGATTAATGTTTTAAATAGCCTATACAATTTTGAATACAGAAATATGAAATTATTTAAGTAACTGAAATTACACGCTAAAATTTTAACTAAATCCGCAAGCAGGTGGCGGCAAGTCACTGATTTTATCACTGAATCATTCATTCAATTGATTCGTTCGAACGGCTGAATCATTCAGGAATGAAGCAAGTGACTGTCTTTATGAACTTTTATCTTTATGTATAACGCTTCTCAAAAACTGTAATCTCCATATAGGTCAGATTAACTTTTTGCATTACAAACTCTAGCGGACAGACAGTAAAGCCACTTAAGTG